GAGACAATTTGCATATTAGCCTTTTATTATATAGGATATACCCTGAGTGGCTAGATTATTATGCATTCAGAGATCATAATAATATGGCCACTCGGTTTATATAGACTTTTTATCTCTTCTTCTTTCAGCTCTCAGTTTCACTTATCATTAAGTCATTGAAATAAAGCTGTCCAAAATCTGCTCTGATTATCATCTCAATCTTGGTAAAATCCAAAGTTATATCCCACCTTTGATCCCTCATATTGGTAATTTAGTCTTCTTTCTTTTTTGTTTCTGATAAGTCTTGCCAGTTCTTATAAATTTGTTAATTACTTTAAAAAGTTTGACTTTTTAGAGTTTTTCATATATATATATATATATATATATATATATATATATATATTAGAAATATATATTTTCTAACATTTTCTAATATATTTCTAATATATATATATAGTTTTTCTAATATATATATGTTTCTATTCATATACTTCTGCTCTGATTTCCTTTCTTCTACTTTGTTCTTTCTCTAGCTTATTAAGATATTTTCATCAAAAATTTAGCCTTTGTTCTTTTAAAATATGTATTATATATAACATATATCATACATAAATAATATAGCTAAAAGGCTATACATTTTCCTCTGGGCATGGCTTTGACTGTAATCCACACATTGTGATATATTTTATGTTTATTAACATTCATAAAAATATATCTTCAGATTTCTACTGTGATATTCTCTGAGTCAGGTATTATTTAGAAGTATATTACTCAATTTCCAGATATTTGAAATTTTATATTTATCATTTCTTATTGATTTCTTAAATATTTCTGTGGTGGTCACAGAAAAAAAAATCCACATAATTCCAATCCTCTGATATTTGTTGAGACCTGCTTTCTAGACTATAATAATAAAAGGGTAATAAAATGCTAATTAGACCAGACATCATTCTGGACATCATGCATGAAGATGGGGCCAGAGGGAAGCCCGGGTCCCAGGTGACTGCCAGCAGAGCAAAGCCATGGTCCTGAGTGCCTCATGGCAGCCAGAGCAAAGCCCAGGTCCCCGGTGCCAGAGGGAAGCCAGTGCCGGCAGCTGAGGGAAGGAAGGCCTTCACTTTCATGAATTTTGTGCACCGGGCCTCTAGTATTCGATAAAAGTTCCACATGCACTTAAAAAGACTGTTTATTCTTCAGTTGGTTGCTTTTGTCATTATTTCCGTTAGATGTCTTTACTCCTTTATCATTATGAAATATCCCTCTTTATCTCCAATAATGTATCCTGTTTGAAGTCTATTTTATCTATATAGACAACCTTCATATATGTCTTTCATGGCATTCTTTTTGAAGAGGCCAGGGCAGTCATCTTATAAAATGACCCACTCTACGTATTTGTTCCCTCTTAGTTTCATTTAACTTGTTCCTCTATCCCAGTGGTCAGCAAACTGGCTCGCGAGCCACATGCGGCTCATGAGCTGCAGTTTGCTGCTCTCTTGACTAATGAGTTTGCCGACCACTGCTCTATCCTGTCCACTTTCTGGAAACCAGAAGTGAGATTTGGCTAAATTAGGTTTAGGGTAAACATACTTAGCAATAACACTTCATAGGCAGTGCTTTGAATTTTATATTTTATCATGTCAGGGATATGATCACTTTAGCCTCATAATATTGTTGGATGAATTAAATGAGAAGATGTATGTCAAGTGCCTAAGATGCTACATGACACATTATAGGTAAAGAGCACAGTTTCTCAGCCTTAGCACAACTAACATTTTGGACCAGATAATTCAGTGCAGTGAGCACTGTCCTGTCCATTGTAGGATGTTTAGCAACATTCCTGAGCTCTACCCATTATATGCCAATAACATTCTCCAGCTGTAATAACCAAAAATATCTCCAGACAATGTCAAGTGTTCTCTACGGGTAAAAATCTGTCCCAATTCAGAATCACTGGCATAAAACAAAAACTGGCATAAAAAAGTATTTGATAAATATTCTGTAAGCACTTACTATCATACCTTGTGCAAGGCTTTGAGATTAAGAGCTGAATGGAACATGAATACTGACCTCAACATATTCATAGTTTTAGGGAGAGATAATGAGGCAAATGGGAAATAAAATATGGTGTGGTAAGTGCTGTAACAGGGACAATCACGTGCTATGAGAGGAAGGACACCTAACTCAGTCTGGAGCAAGAATTCATTCACCGAGAAATAGAGAATAGACTTCTGAGTTGAGATCTGCAGGACAGAACTGTCTCTCCTTTCCCATTAGGGCTCAAGAGATCCATCCAGTAATGACTGTTGTGAATGAAAATAAACACTCAAGAAATAAATTATCAAAAACCCATATATAATAATTTCCAGTCTGTACGTCAGAGTATGACCAATAAAGATTAATCTATTAGTAAATATACAGACACAAAGTAAGCCAGGAGTGAGAGGTAGAAATGGTACAATCAGCCATCTACTTCTTCAGTTGTTGTATTTTCCCATTCTCTAGCTCTAGGTCTGTGTGGGGTCAGACTGAATATCTGAAACAAGATTAACACCAGTCAGTATAATGTCACACACACTCCTCATTAACACAGAAAGGCCTTAAATGAGGGTACCTTTCCAGCTGGGCATACTAGTCAGCTGCCTATACTTCCATTCTTCCTCCTGGCCAAGTGTTTTTTCTGCTTGGTTGCAGTGTAAGTCAGAGACTGGTTAACTGTCCACCAAACCAGTTTCTTCTAGTTGCTGGGCATATCGCTCAACTATCTTTCCTAACCTCAAACTGAGTTCTAGGCCAAGGCATGTATGAGTGAAAGTGATATGTCCTTCCAGGTCTCGCCCATGAAAACTTCCCAGGTGCAATTCTTCATATTGTTTTCCTTTCTACGGGCTTGATGCGAAACAAACATTGGTACCTCAAAAGGCAAGGTTTAAAGATGTCAGAGCTGCGGAGTGGAGAAAATCCATGCTCCTGAGAATCCCCTTGGAGGAGAGAGGCCCCGCAAAGAGGAATGCCCTTCCTGGGCTTAATAGGAATAAGAAGTAAACTTCCACTTAGTGAAGCCATGATATTTGAAGGTTTATCTAGTACAGCAGCCAGCCTGACCTTCCTAATAAGCCAAAATGGAGCAAGGGGCAGGTTTACCCTGCAAATGCAACCCCTCTTGCCCCTGGACACGCAGAATTTCATCCATGATCACCAAGCCAGGGAGGAGTGCCTTGGCCAGAACTTCTCTTTGAGATTCCCCTGAGGGAAATGGGTATGTAGGAGGCTGTTTGCAGGGCTATTGCTAAAGATCACACTTCATCTAAAGTCTGCGGCACGGAAGTATGAAAGGACGTGGGCTTTGATGTTGGACAGATGTAGCTTTGAATCTTGGCTCCCCCTGCTCATTCTTTGGCTCCATCTCTCTGGGCCTCTGTTTCTTCATCTGTAGAACAGCCTGTAAAACACCGGCACAGTTCCTGGCATTTCCAAGGTATTCAATTAGCTCCCTTCTGACAACCATGAAATTAATGAATTGGAAATTTATTTATCCTTCTAATCAGAGGACTAGGGGAGAGCTAGCCTTTTCACCAAGCTCTGTATATTTATCCTTCCATAGAAATGTTGAATGTTTCGTAGAAAGAAACCAGGTCCAACAAATACCTGTGTGTGTTTTTCCTTGGTCTAAACAAGGAGAAGAATTTAAGCTTTAAGAAACTTAAAAATAAAAACATAAATGGAGGCAACATTCATTACTTTTATAACTACTTTCCCTTATAAGAAAGAAATGTCATATTTCCAGACCACAGTAGCAGAACACACGCTGGCCTTTGACCCAGCAGAAGAGAGAGAGAGAGAGAGAGAGAGAGAGAGAGAGAGAGAGAGAGAGAGAGAGAGAGAGAGAGAGAGAGAGAAGAAAAAAAAAAAAGACAATTTACATAGCAGAGGGGGGAGTGATGGATTTTGCTGGGTAACACCCCTTTCCATTCCCCTGTCATCCCAGATAGAATGATCACAAAGCTAACGAGTTGGTGGCAAGACCTCACCTTTCCCAAGCCCATCTCTGGAGATGCAATTGAAAACGGGACCGGTAAATAGGGAACAACCTTCCAGAGAAGCTGGCAGAGCAGTGAGCTGCTGCAGCACCGCTGTATCCGACTGCGGGAGAAGGAGGCTGCAATGTCAGGCCGACAGGGTTGCGGAGGGAAGCGAGAAAGAGAGCCACCCACCAGCATGACTAAGTGCTCTTGGGGACAATCCCTGCTCAGAGGGCAGAAAGCACATATCCAGATGTTAGGAGCTGCCAGATGTGATTAACTGAAGAAAGGTGGAGCTGCCCACTTAACCATCTGAGCAGCTCCCCTCATCAAAGTGACCCCAGACTTTTCTGCAAAAGCATTCATCAACAAAACAAATGGAGGCTCCATCCCTCTCCCATCTTGCCCCTTTTCCTCTCCCGCTCTGATGCAGTCAGAACCTCGGCCTATTTTTAAACCACTGGCAATGTGTTCTGCCGTGGAAATGTGTGGGCTCCCTGACACGAGCTAATGCACACTCAGAAAGAGACATGGGCCCTCCACGGGGCTTCGCCCACGTGCTGTCCTTCCTCTCCCAGGGGAATGGCAGAGGGAGAGCGGGCAGGACCTGACTAGGGAGCATATTACCTGTGCAGAGGAGGAGGGGATATCCGACACTGGTTTCCATGATGGGGAACTAACTGTGGGCTTCCTTCCTTCCCGAAAGTGAAGGCTGAGGCAGGCCAGAACTAGCCCCACAGACAAATACCAAGAGAGGGTCCAGGCTGAGAAAAAGAAAATCAAACCCAGGTGCTGATTCTAACATCTTTTAAAGAAAAAGTGTTTATGTGAATCTCGGTGTCTCTGTGACATGCATCTAATGTACTTTAAAGATAATAACAAACGTTTTTTTAAACATTGGAGACTTTTTTTTTTTTTTTTTTTTTTAGCAAGGTTGCAATGAAGCCAATTATATAGAAAAAAAAGATGACTTTTCAAGAAAGGAGGTTGTTCTGTACTTACAATCGCTCCAGCTGCTTCAGATCCTGGAAGGCGCCTCTCTCGATGATGCTGACCTGGTTGTCTTCCAGATGCCTGGAACCACAGAGACAGTGAGGGTCAAAGACAAGAAGGGCTCAGGGGTCCTCAGGCCAGGCGCAGGCTATGCAGGCATGGTCACCCCACGACCCTGGGGCCCCATCTGGCATCAGAATGGTGGGACCAGCGCGGTGGGACAAGATAATTCACATCCCAGCTTGGTGTCACGGTAACCAGGGTTTCGCCGCCTGCACACTTCTACCTGACAGATTGGTTTCCATGCCTCTATTTTAAGAATGTGCTCAGCAAATGTCCCCCCAAGCACTGCAGGATGCTGCACAGAAAAGGAAGAGGTAAAAGCTGCTTCTTATAAAAAAAAAAAACTACACATATAATCAGCATCTCTTCCCTCGGAGCTCCCTCCCGCGTGGATTCAAAAATACTTCACCACAAAGGGCCTCTCCGCTCGCTCACTGTCTCAGGGTCAGCCAGTAGAAAGGGTGAGGCTATTGTTGGACACCTGCCTGTGACGAAGGAAAACCAGCCTGGCGCCAGGAACTCCTTTCCCAGTGCTGCCCGTGCCCATCAGGAGGGTGATGGTTCCAAAAGCGAGGGCTCCCAGCCACGGGCTCTACTGACCTTCAAAGTCTTCGGTGCAGGTGATTACAAAACTAAACACTCTGCTTAAAGCGAATTAGGTTCGTGCATATGGCATATCCTAAGAATTGAGCTTACAATGGAACATGTGTTTCCCTAATTAAAAAAAAAAATGGCATCTTAAAAAGGATTAGCAGGATGGTTGGGAAGGGAAGCAATGAAACTGCACAGTTTCCATCCAGGGCTGGTGGCTGAGCGGGACCGAATGGGAATGGAAGTGAGCTTCTCCGGAGGATGGAGTTTAGGATGGGCCATGAGCTCCTTGGTGTCAGGTAGGAGGAGAGGTGCTCTGAAGCACTGAAGCCAAGGCAGGAGGAAGACAGAGCAGCCTGCAGAGACTTAGCTCTCCTTCAGATGGGTTCCTTCCATGACAGCTTCCACCACTGACACCTCTGAGATGTTTCATAACCACACCAAGCTCCAAACTTTTTTTTTTAAATATATATTATATTGATTTTTTTTTTACAGAGAGGAAGAGAGAGGGATAGAGAATTAGAAACATCCATGAGAGAGAAACATTGATCAGCTGCCTCCTGCACACCTCCCACTGGGGATGTGCCTGCAGCCAAGGTACATGCCCTTGAGTGGAATTGAACCTGGGACCCTTCAGTCTGCAGGCTGACGCTCTGCCCACTGAGCCAAACCAGCCAGGGCAAACCCCAAACTTCTTAGGGTTCACACTTGGGCCTGTATGTTTATTTTCAAATCCATCTATGCGTAAGGACCAGGAGGGTTCATAGTCATACTCCTAGACCTCACATTTGTCTGGACAGCAGCTGCTTAATAAAGGCTTATTGAATGGATGAAAAATAAAGAGGACTTAGGCCCACAGCACATACTAATTTTATATAAAAGAAATGGCCAGTCTAGGCCACATGAAGTTTCTCACTTAGACTCTGAGTATGAAGGGGTATTTTGGAATCAGGATATCTCTCTCTCTCTCTCTCTCTCTCTCTCTCTCTCTCTCTCTCTCTCTCTCTCTCTCTCTCTCTCCCTGCCTCCCTGCCTCCCTCCCTCCCTCTCTTATGCGCGCGCGCGCGCACGCACACACACACACAGAAACTCCTTTTGAGAAGTCAGCTGTCCCATGTCCAAATATCAACAACAGGCCAGAACTGAGTATGGGTCAGGCAAGGGACACATGCTCTCCACTTTGCCACAGTCCTCATCTATTCTGATTCATACATTTATGCTACTTCTGGCCTCTGAGAGGCTCCCCACTTTATATGGACACAATGAAGCAGAGCAATTAAGAGACTTATCCAGGGAGAAATTATTTGTATAAAGTCACACAGCTAGTTTGGGAGGACTCTTAACTCTCACTCTCATGTGCTTGCCAGATTTGACTTAGATCTCCTTTCCTGCCTTCTTACCAGCTGAGGGTAATGCCATTGGGCTATCTAGTCAACAGCTCCAAGACTCTTTTCATTTGTAAAACAGGAAAAAGAAAGTTAAAAACATCTCATAAGTGAGGCGTGGCTGGTATGGCTCAGTTGGTTGGAGTGTCATCCTGTATATCAAAAGGTCTGGGGGTTTGATTCTTGGTCAGGGCACATACCCAGGTTGTGGGTTAGATCCCCGGTTGGGCTGCCTATGGGAGGCAACCGATCTATGTTTCTCTCTCACATCAATGTTTTTTCTTTCTCTTGCTTCCTCCCCCTTCCTCTCTCTCTCAAATCAACAAAAGCATATCCTTGGGTGAGGATTTTTTAAAAATCACGTAAATGAAAATAAAAATGGAGCAAAGTATATAAATTATCTAGCCCAGGATCTTGAGTATAATTAGATGTTTAATAAATGTTATTTTCCTTTCCTTCTCTTCCTTTTTTACCTCGCCATATGGCAACGAGGGCCTTGGAATGCTAATAGACTCACGCTAGCACATTTTGCTAAACAGGGAACCAGTTCAATATTAGTGACGGGTGGTTTGTTCAGCTGGGTTTTTACCATCAATCAATCCATCATGTGGCTTGTTGTCATTACTTCCCAATTATAACAAGGAGCCACATAGGGAGGCGGAGTGTCTCAGACCCAGTGGGTTTTGAAGGAGTCAAACTCCAAGCTCCCATGATGAATCTCTTAGTTCTGTACTAATTAATCTAACACTGCCAGCCTCTTTCAGAAAGAGAGGGAGGCAAATGCAAATGCATCTGTGGAGATAGCTGCCCCTTTTTACTTTGCTGAGGCCCCGGAAGGCTAACTTTCATCAGCTTCATCACATCAGAAACTTCTTCGACTCTGGCTTCCTGTTGGGTTCAGCCAGCTGCAGTCCCCAGCAGGAGATGGGAGGGTAGAAGGATATGAGTGAGGGTAGGAGATTTATTCCCAGTTCCCACCTTGCCAACTCACCTCAGGTTGACTTCATCTCTCTTCCCACGGTCCTGTCAGGCCGTCTCTACCTTTGCTAGGGGAACCACTTCATCCCACTGCTCCTTGAGGCTTAGAGACGGTTGCTACTAGCCCCAGGGAACAATACCATCTCTTCCTTCCCACACCTTTGCAAATAATTCCTTATTCAGCTCTCCTCATTTGTCCTGTGTGAGCATCATCTCTTTCCTCCTGGGAACATGACTGGTAGGGTACCTAGGGCCCCTTCTAGATCCACTTCCTACATCTACCAGAGTCCAGCCTAATGCTTGGCACTTAAGGGCTCAATGAATAATCAATATTTCATGAATCAATGAGCTGTGAACCCTCACTTCTAGGCTGAGATCCAGTTTGGGAGCGTGTGCTAAAGCCAATGATATCACTCTCATGTTACTGACCAGATAGGGGGTCAGGGGGTTCAGGAAGAGCTGGAACGTCCATGGCTCCAGTCTGTTCTAAGTTAGGAGGACACAGACTGTGTTCATTTGCAGCATTGTGATTTTTTTTTTTAAACATTGGATCAGAATCGGATATCACTCCATGGGATGATGGCTGGGTGGGGTTTGGCTCTTTATTAGCCCCATTTGTGAGAAAGCTGTTTCCCACATTGTGGTGATAGCAGAGTTCTTGCAACAGACTATTGAGAAAGGGAACTAACTGATAGCACAGCAGAGTCCTTTTCCTACTCCTACCCCAAGGGAGAAAAAACTGTAAAGGGCAATTCTTACATCTTCTCTTTGAATGCCCCTTATTTGGGAAAACTGCCTTTGGATGAGGTCGAAGTTCTCATTTTCTGTTTTTTTCTGCTTTTGCCCATTCCCAGCGCCATGGTAACCCATTCTGCTAGGAAATGGGTGGCACAATCAAATTATTCAAGACCATTAAGTGTTTTCTAGTTTCATGATAAACTGTAAATAAGAAACAGATACAGGGAATATACCAAGGTGGGGTGAACGCTTTTCAAAAGAAGATAGTTGTTTAGGTTACTCTGCTAAACAGCAAAGATTAAGGAAAAATGTTGTTTGTATGTCTGGGTATTTTATTGGTGTCTGCTGGAAAGCACTTCCACTATCCCACCTGCCTGATTTTTGTAGAGCAATAATGGACCACTTGAACGGGACTGCCTTTGAGTTGATGAGATAATGAAACATATTATATTGATAAAGTCTATAATGTGGGGGAAGGAAGAGGATTTTGGCATCGCTTATCAAAATAAGATTGTACCCATTAATTGAAAACAAAATAAGAAGAATGTACCAATAAACTACAGTCAAAGGAATGATGTAGACCATCCGGAAGATATTAACAGGATCTTATGTGATTATTTTAAACTTTCTATTTGCAGAGAAAAGATATGGAAATTGGAATTTTTATTAGTATTTCTGATGTAATGGTAAAATCAAAGGTTATTTTTGACTTTCTAAGAAAATGAAGCAGTAGGTGAAATTTCTGACTTGTATGAAAGGAAATCTTTCACAGATGCTAGGGGGTTAGAAATTGGAAGAAAAATAAGAGAAGCTAAATGTCTGTTCGTTAAGCAGCAAAATGACCTAGAACCACGTTGTTTACTGCCTATATCTCCTCAATAAAAACACCCTGACATTGAGCCCTGGAATTCCCTCATTCCTGTCCCAGTCTCAATTCTGAGCACACACACTTGTCATGGCTGTCAGTCATCTGACAGGCATATGACTGCTTAGAGCAAAAGACCGATATGGCAGGGGCTGGGGTTTTCCCTCCAAGGAGGGTAAGAGCAGTGTGCTGGCCGAAGATGGGGGGAGGGAGGGGAGGACACGACGACGACACGCTGAGGGGAGAGCATCTGATGGCTGGAGGCCTCGCATTCGGATCGCAGTATTCTCACACATTGGTGCTCAGGGAAACTCAGGAAACAGCTTGCTCATCAGCGGTGCATTTACAAAACAGGTGGACTATTGGTTTTCTAAACTCTCTATAATGCAAGTGGCACTGCATGGAGCTTAGAAAGCACACATCCTGGGTTCTGATTCCTCCTCCCTTGGTCACCTGCTATGTGGAGTTGGGACCACTTAACCTATCTGAGCCTCTGTTTCCCCTGGACATGTAGGGGTTAATAACTACATAACATAGCGTTTGGTCTGTGGAAGGTACCACATATATCTTGGTTTATCATCATCATTACCATTATTAATTCTCAAGCAGGAAAACAGTGTTATACAAGTAATACTCCATAAGCTGCAGGGAGACTAAATAGACCTAAATGAAAAGGTTTAACCAAAAAGCATCATTGGTGCAATTATGAGAATTAGAAAGACTTTTATTTAAATGGGTGGAATTGTATTCCCCCTCAAATCCAAATGTTGATGCTCTTCCCCCGAGTGTGTCAGTATTCAACATTCTTTTGGACTTCATCTCAAGTCTGTACTGTGTAATTCAGTTAAAATGAGGTTAGTAGGATGGGCCCTAGTCCAACTGATTAGTGTCCTTATAAAAGGGGAAACGTGGACATATATATCTTGACCAAAGATAGTGGAAAGGGCCCAGGGAGAAGACAACCACCTAAAAGCCAAGGAATCCCAGCCTTGGCTAGTTGGGCTCAGTGGTTAGAGTGTCAGCCTATGGACCACAGGTTCGATTCCTGGTCAAGGGCATGTACCTTGGTTGCAGGCTCAATCCCTGGCCCTGTCAGGGCATGTGTGGGAGGCAGCTCAGACTTAGAGATGAGGGATAACTATTTAGAAATGAGACCTCATATTCCTTGCTCCCCCATTTTGCAAATGCCCATTCTGCTATCTGTCTGCACAGCTGGGTGTTCAGCAAGGTCTCTGACCCTGTCTGGCTCCCTCCCCTCCCCTGTTCTCCCTCCTCCCCTTCTCCTCCCTCCACCCTCCCTCCTCTCATTTCTCCATTAAACAACAAGATAAAGAACTTTTGTCCTGATTTTTCTTTTAATGCATATGCTGGAGAAGAAATCATCATCTCTTTGGAAGGGAAGAATGGTTAGTCAGTCTGATATTGCTGTCATCCTAGAAGCTGGGCATGTTGACTTATTCACGTATGGCCTTCTGTTTTCCCTGTCACTGGATGGACTTCTTCCATTGGTCTAGCCAGGCAGCAGGGAGGAGACAAAGAATGGGATACCTGTGAAAACCTGGTACCTAATGAAAGGCTTTGTGCCACAGAATGGAAAATTCCTGTTGCCCAGTGCTAGGGGGTATAACATTAGGGCAATGGAACTCTTTCATAAGGCTGAAGAACCAAAAATAAAAATGTGCTGGAGAATAATGTGCTACTTACAAGACTCGAAGGTTCTTGAGTCCAGCAAAGTCCATCTTGGTGATCCTAGTGATATTATTTCTGTCCAGGTCACTGAAATGGAGAGAAAATTTGGGTAAGATTTTTTTTCAGGTTACATTTATAGTCTATTCAACCCAGACTGGCTTGGACTGGAGGGATGTTGCTTGTCAAGAAGAAGGCAATTCCAGTGATTAATGATATCCCCTGAGCATGCCCAGCTAACCTTAAGGGTATTGTATGGAATAAGCTATCCATTATGTCTGCAGCAGAGTTTGTTATATGTAGCTGCCTGGCTTCTGTTGCCCCTTCATCAGGTCAGAAATTTTTCTTTGGAAGCTCCCCACCCCCAACTCACAGATTACGTCATAGAAGTGGGGCTGAACCTTCGTCTCAGCTTCAGGTATAAGCTCCTCACCAGGCTAGGATTATAGACATCTTTGCCCCCTCTGAGGACAGTCATTGTTTGAGAAATGCATACATGACTCAAATTCCCAGTGGGCTTTTCTGTACTGGGGCTGCTAAGCTGTTCAGCGCTGCCAGCAGCCATGTTTCCCATGAAGACAGAGCTTTCCAGAGTTAGGAGATAAAAAGATTGATTTCTGGTGCTATCCTACGAGGCTCTGGAGCCAGACATGCCTGAAGCCAGACACCTCTGCATTTGGAGATTACATGGAGCCACTCTATCGCTTCCCTCTTACATTTTAATTTACAGTAGTTTGAGTTAAATTTGCCATCACTTGAAACCAGAAGAATCTTAATTGACTTTGATACCTAGCCAGGTACTTGTCTATTTCCCACCTAGCTTGAGAACTTCCCAAGGCAAAGACCATATCTCATTTAACACCATAGCCCAGTGGTCGGCAAACTCATTAGTCAACAGAGACAAATATCAACAGTATGATTGAAATTTCTCTTGAGAGGCAAATTTTTAAATTTAAACTTCTTCTAATGCCACTTCTTCAAAACAGACTCACCCAGGTTGTGGTATTTTGTGGAAGAGCCACACTCAAGGAGCCAAAGAACCTCATGTGGCTTGCGAGCCTCAGTTTGCGACCATGGCCATAGCCCAATAAGGTAGATTGTGTGCTTGGCACAGAGTTAAGGTAACTTCGCTAATTTCCTACATTAGGTAAAGATAGCTACGTGGATTACTCCCACCTTTGTAGGCTTAAGATTCTAAAAATGGTCCCAAAGAGAAGGATTCATCATAGGAGAACTGAAAGCATTATGGTGGCACTGCTGGGAAGAAAGGAGTACCATGGAGGTAGGAAACTAGGATTAGGGGAAAACAAAGACAACAATAAACCTATATAAATGTGCTCACTAAAACTATATCAGAAGACTGGACACAAAAAGGGGCCATAAATAATGTTCTAATTCTTAATAATGAGTGCTGAACAATTTCCGGGGCTTTGACCAAGTTAGAGCTTCAACAAGGTACCTGTAACCTATCTTGCTCTGCTTTCCTCCAGAGCATTCAGCTAAAAGAACATTTTCCAGTAATGGGTTCCTATCTACATGTTCTCTACAGCAGTCTCCCAGCATCCCTTTCTGTAGTTTCAGTGGCCCATGGTTAACTGCGATAAGAAAATATTGAACGGAAAACTCCAGAAATAAACAATGCATAAGTTTTAAATGGTGCACCACTCTGAGTAGTGTGATGGAATGTCACGCCTTCCCACTCCTTTCTGCCCAGGACGTGAATCATCCCTTTGTGCAGCGTAAACGCTCCTGGCCCATGAATCACTCAGCAGCCAACTCAGTTCCCCTGCCATGGGACCACAGGGCTTGTGACCCTCACTCTACTTACTCATGGCCCCCAAAGCACGAATAGTATGCTGGCAATTTGGATATGCCAAGAAAAGCCATAAAGTGCTTCCCTTGAGTGAAAAGATATGAGGTATAGGAAAAAGAAGTACACAAAGGGTTCAGTACTATCCCTGGTTTCGGGCACCCACGGGGGCCTGGAACATATGCCCTGTGGATAAGAAGGAACCACTGCATTTCTTTGGTTTTCCCAGTCAGGTCCTGAGGTTGTCACCCTGTAGTTGGGCTTCAGTGAGACTTGTGAGATCTGTGGTTGCACAAAAAGAATGAGGAAACAATGTTCAAATTCTCATACTTTGCAGGAGGAAAAGCCAAGTTTGGGGAGGGATTACTCTCATGATACAGAAATAATACTGAAATAAACATGAAGCGAGTCCTTGAGGAACCTCACCTGGGAACGCCCCACTCCATCCAGTGTTCCACTATCTAAAATAGCAAAGTTGCTTCTGAACTAGCCTACCAATGAGAAGGGCAGCATGTGCACTCCTCAGACTAAGGTGAGTGCTGATGAAGGAAGAGCAAGAACTGCACAGGGAAATAGAAAAGGGTTGCTCACGCAAAGATGAGGGACCAGCATGCAGACAGGGATCTGTGCGTGCCCATAATTGCCCTGAGTATTTTTCTAACCTCCTTTCACAACTGGGATGGTTGTTTGGGGACCCTGACAACTGTGAATATGACAATGCAACTAAGGGTTTCATTACGGGGGCACAGCATGGTATCTCAGCAGCTAATGCCAGTGGCTGTGACACCAATATTCTTCACTATATATTTATTATGTGAAGGGGGACAAAGTGTGCTGCTGGGATGCTGAGGACTTGGGGTTGGGTTGTGATGGGGACTGTGGTGCTGCCATGGGAACATGGTCAGTGTCTGGGAAGCAGTGCTTCAGAGGCAAGCAGCCCTGAGTGTGAATCCTCACCTTGCCACATAATGAGTGACCTAAGGGCAGTTTGCTGCATCTCTGAGGCTCAGCTTCTCCATCTGCCAAATGAGGGTGATGACCTTGACCTCAACAGTTTTTAAGAGGGTTAAATAAGATGATGCATGCACAGTGCTTATCTGACATTTGTTAAAGACTCAATCACGGCAGCTATTGTTTCTATAATTAGTTGAACTGAAAATTCCCACATCCACTCTGAAATTTCAGTGCACCAAGAGCAGCTGACTACCCCACCCCAAACTCTGAGCTTAGAGATGAATCTTGGGATCCTCAGAAACTTGGTTTGCATGCTATCTTCCTACAGGTGAAAAGAGAGGGCATTTTGTGGTTGATAGGAAGGCAGCACAAGTGGCCCCTCACGCTGCCTCTTCCTTGAAGCATTTCTATGACACCTAGTCCATAGATATTTCCATGGTAGCTTCTCCTCCCTGATCCATACAATACTGCCAGACTGCCAAGGAGAAGGTCAGGAAGCACATGGGTTTTGAGGTGAGACAGGTCAGGGTTCAAATCTCTGTCCACCACCCCTACTCCCAGTTCTGTGAGTTTGCATAATTCACTTAAACTCTCTGAGCCCCCGTGCTTTCTGTAACTCTCTCCTACTTGCAAACTTTGGAATTGTGAGCCCTCATGAAGCCTGGATTGCAAACATGTCTGGTGAAAAATGGGAATTAACTCAACTGACACTGAGAAGAGGCTGCACTATTTCATGTGTCCATCCTTCCCCAACCTCCATTGTCCCAGTCCAGGCTCCTATGAACTCTTAGATTTCTCAGCCTTCGCCTTTAGCCTCTGAGGGAATCAGATCTCAGCCTAGGATGAGTTCTGAACCATCTGCAGGCATGGCCCCATCTGGAGTGATCCTGGATAGGGAAACCATTACAGTGTCTAGATGTGGGGTGGGGAAGCGAAGTGGTTTTACAACATGTCTGTAAATGATTTCTTTGACAATAAGTGACTGCCTGGCTGTCTCTCAGAACAACTGCGTTGGTGTCCTGAGCTGCCATGTGAAAAGACCAGGAGACCATGGGGAGTGAGTGAAAGAGGGAGGGAAGATAGAGATGAAACAGGGGAGTGAGTGAAGAAGGGAGTAAGAGAAGAAGGGAGTGAGGAAAGAAGGGAGGGAGGGAGGGAGGGAGGGAGGGAGGGAGGGAGGGAGGGAGGGAGGGAGGGAGGGAAGGAGGAACAGAGGGAGGAAGGGAGGGAGGGGAGAGAGGAAGGTAGATGCCTGAGGAGCCCTAGCTGCTCCAGCCCTGGCTGTTTGGGTATTTCTAGCTTAGAGGTCAAACATGTAAGAGCAGACACTTTTGAGATTCCAGCTGCAGCTACCATCTGGCTAGAACTATGAAAAGCCAGATCACCCAGCTAAATGGCCTTGAGTTCCTGCCCACAGAAACTGTAGTGGAGAATACTAAAATGAGTGCTATGTCTTACACCATTAAGTGTTGGAATGATTTGTTTTGCAAAAAATGGAAAGATGAAAGAGAAAGGAAAGCCACCTTCCAAATATTTAATTTAGCATTAACAATGGACATCCATTCACTTGACTCTCACACGTCCTTTCTGAGGTTTGCCTGCCACCCTTGAAACTTTCAGTGTGGTCTTTATGGTCAGGGATAACTCACAGGGGCTGAAGGCTCCTGTGTCATTCTAGGAATGAGGTGAGAATTGGTGCTGCGCTCAGGCTCTGAGGTGGAAGGCTGCATAATTAGGGCTGCTCATCCCTCCAAGTGAGGCTTATGGTGACATGGGAATCACCCTGGTATTATATAGTAATCACAATGAGCAGGTGCTATTCATTCAACATTGTGGCAGATTGGCAAGTTGTCCAACCAAACCAGTTTCTTCTGACTGTCTGGTGCACATAGAGAGACTACGTTTCTCAGCTTCCCTTGCAGGTAGGGGCAACTATGTAACTGAGTTCTCACAATTACACTGGCAGAAGCAACATATATACTGCCTTCAGGCCTTGGTCCATAAAACATCCTACTCACCTTGGGCTGGAGTCAGTAGATCCAGTGGAGGACTCCAAGAATCTGCTGACTCCAGCCCAAGGTGAGCAGACAGAAAGAGCCTGGGTCTCTGAATGACTGCATGGAACAGAGACTTTCCCTTCCCTGCCTCCCAATTTACCCACATTAGAGTTAGACATGTTTAAGACATAACTCTTAAGACACTGAAATTTTGTGACAATTGGTTATAGCAGTCTACATGGACAAGTGCAACATTTTGAGTCAGGAGCTCCTCATCCTTTTTTTCTTTCTTCTCTTTGCAACTGCTCTGAAAGGTAGGTATTAGTCAT